CTTCATTGTTTTCAGCCATATACTTTACAGATTTGGCTGATATTAATGAGTCATATGTGGGTGGAGAGCCACTGTTTTTTCACTCTGAAGCTCCTGTCCTCAAACTGCGCTCTGTTTAAATGAGTAGCCAGAATTTAACCCATACTGATTAATCCTGTGTGCGTCTTATCTCACTCCACCAAAGAAGTCTACATTCATTTGTGCCGGATCACAAAGAGCAAATTAGACTGACCATCTGCTGCATAAGTTCTTTTCTTCAGTAATTAAAAGGAAAACTTGACTGTTTTTACATCACTATGCTGCGTTTAATTAATGCTATCTATTTAATTTCAGTTATCAGTTTTCTTTTTGTCATTCAAATCTAGTTAGAAAACATAGAGTTATAGAAATAATGATATTACAATAGACAATAGATTTGATATATTTATGTTATATTTTATATTAATTAAATTATTATTTTACATGGTTTATTTATCCTCATTCAGCAGCAACTGTGCACGTGATGTACAGACATGCTTTGAAACAGCTTTCCAATTATTATTTTTGACAGTGACCAATTTAGAAATTGTCACAGATGTGACGCACACATGAGATCATGCCGTTTCAGGCTCATTTTAGCACATCCTATTTATATACAGATAATATAAGCAGTTATATGAAGCATTCAGGATGGTGTCCATCATTCCTGGTGTTTTTATAATGAGTCCTGTCCACCTATGGCCTTCTCATACACCCGTCTGTCTCCTGTTTTTGCCATCAGGACGTCCTCCTACCGCCACTGGAGGTTTGAAATGTGCGTGGGAAAATATGCATTTAATTGAAAAATAGGAAAAACAGTGGACAGGAAATATATAGAAGTTATTGCCCATATGGCCACATAAAACAAAGTTTCCTTTGAAAACTTCACCCATATCAGTTCTATCTCTTATGTGAGCAGTAATAGGAAAGAATGTGTTGATATTTGTCAGGGCCAGTAACATCTCATTTAGCTTGTCTCTGCAGTTACCATAGATACAGCAGATTGCACGCTAATTATGCAGCAGTCAGGCTTGAGTTTTTTATTAACCTGAATTTTTGTTCCAGGAACTCCACAGAGACACACTTCGGCATGATCAGCTCTGGTAATGCATGTTGACGGATCCAGCATAAGACGAGATATCCTCATTAATATGAGCTGATAGGAGTATATGTTAGATCACACATATTTACTGCTATTATAAGATACAGTGTGTGCGTTACTAGGCAATCTTTATATAGTCTTGAACATTTGGAGCTTCAGGCACATAAGAAGATCATGTTATGCCATCAGTGTCTGTCAAGACGACTAAATGTAACCTGTGCTCTTACATGGATTAAAATACTTGGTCGGATAAGCATGATAAGCACATCACAACAGCACTCAGAAATTGAGAGGTGGGATATCTCTTTATGGGATCATGTTTCTTCTTTGTGGCTCCTTGAGGGACGAGTCGAGTCCGGAAGATGTTTTTAAGAGAAACTTAAGGCTGAAAAAAAATCTTTCCTTAGGATGCAAGACGACAAAGCTGAATAGGAAGTTTCCATAGCAGAGTATCTGACCTGAAAGTTATTTATTGTTTAAAAATACACACACACACACACACATATATATATAAATACACACACTTTTTGGGAAAATGATGGAAATTCAGATTTACTCCGCTAAAATTATATTACAACTTAAATTATTTTTGTCTTATGCTTTGTTAAATAAACACAATAAGAGCAGCATTTAGTTAATATTAAAATGTATTTTCTTTATGGCTTTATGTACTAGGTTTATTTATATCTGCATTAGTTATATTGTATTTGTACATCATAGCACTTATTTTCTTAGCAAATAACCATTTTGAACTGCTTTTTGCAAGTGTGTTTAAAAAGTGTATGTTTTTTTTTCAGAGAGGCTATAGCAATACAAGCTAGCTTTGAAAGCATAAGATCCCACCCTCCCTTCAGAGCGTCTCCAAATAAAAAAAAACACACATGAACGCGTACAGCAGGGAGCAAACAAAAGTGTCACAAGAAACAACATTAAACTAAGCCCATAACTTTACAATAATAATGAACATAAACAACTTAAAGGTGTACAACCTGACTGCTCCAGATTCATCTCGGCGTTGATAGTGTTGTCCTTGAAATGCATTCGAGTCACAAACTGCTTAGAGTATAATGTCACGGGTTTCCATCTCTTCCAAATTACAGTAGTTATGTGGTGAATGCAGCCAAAGCTCGTTGTTTTGGTTCAGGAGGAACTGTAAAAAGCGGCTGCTGTTTCGGTTGTGGTGCTCGATGACTGACGTCTGTCTCTGCATAGCATGAAGCTTGCTGATGACCTGTATAATGTGTCTGCGCGAGCAGGGTCCGCGGAGGTATGAAAATGCATACATTAACAGGCAGGTAGGCCATCGTATCATTGCATTCAGACCGAATGTAATGACTGGACGAACATTGTAGGCTACTACACCTTCCACAGACAATATAGGCCTGTATATATATACAAATACATTTAGACACTTAACTTAGTGATTGCTATCATTATGTGAAGAGACTTATAGCATAACAAAAAAAAATTTCTGGAACAAATCACCTACCCTGCCTTTGAATGTAAATAAACACAATAAGAGTCCAGCATTTGGTTTATACTATAAAAGGTAAATACGAACTACAAGTAAAATAGACCGGAGCAGTTCAGAGTACTGGAAGTAGCTACTACCTTCTACCTTTAATTAGCAGATTTTGAATGTTAAAGGCGCAAGCCGTGATGTTTGCCGCGAGCGTTTTAGAATCTGCTGATAGTGCTGGAGTTTCTTTGATTTAGTGCTTTATTATAGTGGATTGTCAAAATGCGTATTAACTTTGAACTGACCACGGCGGAGTACAAGAACGCCTCTACCTCTGGTAGATTGACAGCGTGATTACGACATGGATTTCAGTCGACTGAACTAGAATCAGCAACTCTGTTTTCAGTCAGGTATACATCACATTGGTCTAACAGGTAGAACTGACCAGCTGAGACAGTTAATTAGGCCTCCCTCTGGTGAGGGTATAGGACGGGCATGCAGTGACTCAGCAGACTCAGCATAGCCTGGCAAAGCATCTATCACTCAACAGGCAGCGAGCGCTGGGAAACCCGCTGTTCTTTTGACTCTTGGCTGATGATCTCCTGCTGGGCACAGCCACTGTGCGGCTGAACTCTATCTGACAGCTTCCTCCAAAATGCTTTCTTGTTGCATTCCTGTGCCATAAACGTTTTTGGCATAGGATGAACACAGCCTCTTTGAATCCTTGTAGCTTGTCGATAGGTAAATAATTGATCCAGCTGGCCACTTGCACCTTCTCCCGAGTAAATAATGGTGCAGCTCTGCCTGTGCTGTTGACCACTAGTGGCGTTTTTTCTTAGCCTTGCATTATGAGTCAAAGTTCAGAGAGTCTGTCTTGAAGGAAATGAGACAACCGCATTCTTTATTGTATCACCTTCGGATTTTGGTGCAGTCCCAGTGTCCCAGTTATATGTCCCAGTGTGCACTTTGCTGTTGCATAGAGGTAAATGGGTACAGCATCTCGCCTGGGGGTTATTTGTGTTACCACAGTTGTCCTTCCTGGCTATAAATGTGTTTTTCTTTCCTTTCCACAATCCAGTAATTTCCTAGCCTGGGAAAACCCAGACAACTTCCGGCAAATTTAGATTTGCTTTGAAAGTTAGTCTGGCAAAGAGCTCATTCAAGCTCATTTCCAATCCGCCGAAATCGAGGCACCAATCAGAAATGTTGGGGCGGGCTTTACACGATGATGACAGCGCTGGGATTTTGAAGCAGATTTTGTAGCCTACATTACAAAGATGGATGCCGGCGTCGGGTCGAACATCACTCGTTCGAATCAGCTATCGCGTCTGTTTTAAGCGATTTGAACGTTTCCTTTTTGTTACAAACTGAGCAAAGAACAACACTCGGAGATGTTTCTCCGCCGCTCTGCATACGTCATCTCCTTCATCACTCTGATTGGGTTTAGGTCTATCCGTGACGTCCGTTGGTGACGCCCCTCTGGAAATGATTTGTCTATGACGCTTTGCCAGACCATAACTCAGTTACAACTGAGAATGGTCTGGTATTAACCAGGCTACTGTTTGGGTGGATCAAATTCAAGAATGAAAGCGGTTATGATCACCTAGAAAAGCAGACAAAGACCTGCCAGACATTATGATTTTAACCACACAAAATGTATCAAAACTAGAAAGCAAAAACGCTAATGAACTCAGCTGCACAAGTGTATTTGGTCTGTGACACTCTTTCTAACCTAATGTCTGATAAGGGAGAGCATTTTATTTGATACGGTCTCACATTATACCGTTCTGTTTGTTTCTACCAAAGCTCTTTATAAAAAAAAAATAAGCTGAAAGTCTAGATGTCCGACATATAATATCTTACTTAAATGCCAGTCTTTGCAACAAGATTAGACACGTTTTCCATTTAATTTGCACCAAATGCAACAAAGAAACTATGAAGATGCAGATCATATAATACAAGCATCTTCCCAGAAGCATGAACTGAATTATGTATAATTTACATTTAACATGCAATAATATATGCACTACAGATCAATTGTATGCACCCATGTACCACCAATGCTTTGCCAGACCATAACTCAGTTACAACTGAGAATGGTTTGGTTTTAACCAGGCTAGTAATTTCCCAGAAGTTTAAAATCAATAAATGTATCCTGTTTCATTTAATAATGCAATCACACAATTAAAATGGGTTGCGGACAGCAATTGGCAATGATTTTAACAATTATGCAGGTGCTTTTATCTAAAGATATTTAGTCAAATATTAGTATGCATTTCCTGAGAATCAAACATATGACCTTGGCATTGTTAGCGGTAAACAGAAACAGCTACAGAAACAAGCAGTTTAATTGCCATCTTAAAATAAAATCTTTGCCACTATCTTTCAACATAGTTCACAGTCAGTCAACTGTTTTCCACTTCCTGTAGTCTGACACCTGGAGTAAAACCCCTTCAAGGGATGCTAGCGCATGACTTATGGGATCATTTTGAAACTGGTATGTTATGCTATGCTATTCTACACTACTGTGAACCACCATTGGATTGTGAATCATTTTTCATATACCCAGATCCACAGACACTAAACTTAAAATTAACCAGCAGCTGTTCTCATCTTATCCTACAGCAGATTCCCAAAATACTTCTGTGCTTGGTACAAGAGTGCAACTGGAGACTTTTTGAGACTGGGCTATTCTGGACAGGTCTGTTCACTCTGTGGCAGCGTGACAGCGGGAATAAGGGAATTGGGAATGATGACGTCTTTATTAGAGCAGACTATTTGGTGAATATTGGAAGATCCAATATAGGAAATGCACTAATAGTTTCCTGTGGGTGTGGGAATGACATCAGAATGTATAGTGATAATACAAATTATAATAAAATGAATATAAGAAGACTTTAGTGTGATTTTATAATAATTGATTGGAAACTAGTTGCGATTAAATAAGTCTAATAAGTCAAATGTATATATACATTATACTAGATTACAATAAAAATTGATAAAAAATGTTTATAAAGACACTATAAAATGTTTCCAAGTAGCTATTAATGTGACCTCCATATAACAAAAAGAAAAAAAGTGGAAATCTGTTAATTTTACTAAAACAATCAAAGGCTGCAACATAAAAATTGATGTAAATGACGAAGCACGGGTAGTTCTATCTCGCTGTCTGGATGTGATTTCGAGAGAATGACTTTGACATGAACACACCTCTGCTGCTCTTCAGTGTGAGCTATAATGTTTCTGTTTTTAGGTAGGGAAATATCCTCTCACCCTGCACTGTGCTGACAGACCCAGATGAATCACCCCCGTTTATTCTGCTGATGCTGCAGGTATGCGAGAGCCAGGAATTTAATATGCGGCCGGTGGGAGAGAGGAACTACGGGTGCTGGAGAGGATCAATAATTGAAAGGTCACAGTGGTCACAAGGTTCAGAGTGGCTGAACTGTTGTGTGTGCAGGTATATGAGGAGCTCATTGTTTGTGTGTGTGTGTGTGTGTGCGTGTCAGATAAGATGAGGTTTATTGGGCATGTGTGGATGGGGACGCATGGAACACAATGTTCTTAATTGCTGTGCTTGAAAACTAGCATATATCTGATATATGACAGATGGTGAGATTTAATAATCTAAAATCAAATAAACAAACAATCAAATCTGATCAAATCTCTGAGGATGTGATTTATTCCGTACACTCTTATGAGACTTAATGGAAACCTCAATTATGTTGAATTTTGTTATCAAATTATCTCCGTTTTTTTTTTTTTTTTGGGGGGGGGGGGGGGGGGGGGGGTATATTTAAATCTCTGGCTTTTGATTGCAGACTTGGCACAGCTGAAACAGTTTCTGATATTCTTGAGATCTCTTCAGAAACGATAAAATGAGACTCATTACTAGGGCTTTTCTCAGTAAAAACATCTGAAAAGCACTTAAGACTCGCCATTTCATCTCACTACTAAGAGGAGCAATTTAGAGACTGAAGACTTTTTATATAGACTACCATTTAAAAGTTTGTGGTCAGAAAGATTTTTTATTCTTTAATTATACTTTTATTCAGCAAGTGTGCATTAAATTGATCAAAGTGACAATAAATACATTTATAATGTTGCAAAATGTTTCTATTTCTTTTGAACTTCCTATTCATCAAAGAAAAACATTTATCAAGATTTCCACAAATATATTAGGCAGCACAACTGTTTTCAGCATTGATAATATAGGCTATATGTTTCTTGAGCAGTAGATCAGCATATTAGAATGATTTCTGAAGGATCATGTGACACTGAAGACTGGAGTCATGATGCTGAAAATTCAGCGCTGCATCACAGGAATAAAATACATTTTTAAATATATTACACTTTTAAAATTAGACAAAAATACATTTAAATTAAAATAATATTTCACACTATTACAATTTTTACTATATTTTCTATTAAATAAAAGCAGCTTTGGTGAGCATAAGTAACTTTAAACATTAACACATATTACCAAGCCAAAAAATATAAATGGTATGATTTTTGTACATTTTTATTTTGCTTACATTTTCTAACCCATCTTCTCAAACTAGTCTCTCTGTTTTCACCTCTCCACCCAATATAGTTATTAGAGATATTATAATTATTATTCCTCTTCAAAGCAACATGTTTTTCACCAGAGTCTGCATGAAAGCCTTTGAAGAAGAAACTGGTCTTTATATCACTGTGAAGCTTTTTAACAGAGCCAAATCTTTCGGTTGGTGTTCAGGCTTGCAGCTGATATGTGTAGAGGCTGAACTGAGCATCTCACCCGATTATACCGTGACCATCTTTTCTGATAAAACCCAGGATAAATCTTACTTCAATATATTACGGTTTGCTAGCCATCAGGGAGAAGCCCCATATTGCTTCCACAGGAAACTGTAACAAATCCAGTCAACCCTAAAGATGACTGTGTCCGGGCAGCAGCTTTTCTCATATATTTCCTGTAGATTTTTATAAAAGAGGAAATATTGGTCATATAAGTCTATCGGTGCAGTTTTTATTTAGAGTAAAAAAATTAATTACATCTGAACTTTGCATTATTATTTTTGTTGTATTAAAAAGAGAAGCTTTCATATTTTGATGACAATTCCTTTGTATTCCGTGGTAGGGGAAAAAGTTACATGGGGGTGACTTTTGATTTCAGACTTGGCACAGCTGAAACACTTTATGATATTGTTTATATATATATATAATATTGAGATCTCTTAAGAAACAGTAAAAAAGACTCATTAGGGGTTTTCTCAATAAAAACATCTGAAAAGCATTTGCTCTTCATTTTATCTGACTGCTAAAAGGAGCAATTGAGACACTGAACAGATTTCATATACGCTACCGTTCAAAGGTTTGTGGTCAGTATGATTTTTGTGAGTTTTAAAAGAAATTAATACTTGTATTCAGCAAGGACACTTTAAATTGATCAAAAGAGGTTGCAAAAGATTTATAGTTCAAATAATGCTGTTCTTTTTGAACTTCCTATTCATCAAAGAATCCTGAATAAAAATTGATAATAATAAGAAATGTTTCTTGATCAGCATATTAGATGGATAAGGTGACAGAATTAGCAAATTACCAAATTTAAATGTTTAAATTGATTATTTCTGCCACGGCATTTTAGACTAACACTATTTTAACCTACAATAATAGTGCTTTAGAAACAGTTTTAAAAGTTGCATTCAAAATTCACTTAACTCAGAAATGCATTCTAAATTTAAGACTAAGTGTGTACTGTAGTTTTGTGCAAATGTTCTGGTAGCATTCTGTGTGTTTCTGGGTTGTGCTGGTTTCATTCCAGAGTTGCAGTGACCCTTGCAGAGCTGCAGTTGCAGTAATGGGCTCTAACCCGTTAAGGGCTTAACCTCACTGTCTCTTGGGACGGTCGTCTGCAGGTGAGTGATGGGGGTCTGTGTGTGTGTGTGAGTATGTGAAGGCGGAGACATTGCCCCTGATCGCTCTCTGTTGTGAGACAGAAGGGCATGAAGGGGGCTTTTACTTCAAGGGCATGATACGGCATGTCAACATATCACTTTTGTGGGGGTCAGAGATCAGTGTCTTTTAAACTCAGTAGTCAGTTCTCTTTATAAGCACTCATCAAATGCTTCTCATATAAGGAAATTCCCACCTGCAGTCTGCACAAAACTAATAAAATTAGGGATGTGAATTTTAAGGAATTTGACTATTCTCTTAGTGTTTCTGGTTCATTCTATTTCTATTGAATAAAAAGAACTGCTCGTAACAGTCATTCGGTTGACAATCAGGTTTAACTGTGCTGTATTTAATTCAATAAGAAAAAGAACCAGATCATGAGAGTTATTACACTGTAAAAATTATATGATAAATAAGTTGACAACATATGTTTTTACATTGCTTTAACTCATCTAAATAAGTGAATCAATGTTAGAAAAAATGTAAGTTATACAAGATTCAACTCATTTTTAAGTCAGTTTAATGAAATTTAAGTTGAAATGACTTAAACATCTAAGTTGATTGTACTTAAAAATGTAAGGCAGCAACTTTTTTTACAGTGAGTTCACCAATCATACTTCACTGATTTTGATTTACTAAAAAATCTAAGCGAAATTGAAGAACGAACCGATGTGACATAATTTCGAACAAAATCAGGCCAAAACGAAGTTCGTTTCAGCAATTCAAAACAGCTTTCTAGAAAAGTTATCTGTAACACCTTAGAGTTATTTTTGTTTAGCTAAAAAGAACTGGCTCCTAAATGTGCGGCCACAAATATTGGCGGCAAAAACGGTCCATTTGCTATTGACAAGAGTGTAGCAAAGTATGAAGCACAGCTCACACGAAAGTCCATTTCTGCAAATTTGCATGTCAAACTTGAACCTGTTATAAAATCTTCATGGAATTTTTCACCCTCATGCAAAATTCCAGATCGCGTGGGTTCCTATTGAAATGACAGATTCAAAGAACAATGGAAAATTTTATCGCAAATTTATTCGTTTGTTTGAGAATCGTAAACCGTAAATCGTAATCTGAAAATGCACATGCAAGAACAATTGCCAGGTTTACACAACAAAACCAGCCCAAATAGCCCTATCGTGTTCCGGGGGTGGGGACTAAAAAAAACGTAGACTAAACAAACAACCCGCGGCAACAGTGTAAAAGTAGTCCAATTCTGTGGGAAAGCTGCAGACTTGGCAACACTGCAGTAAAGGAACAGAACAGAATGAAATCTAAATAAAATAAGATTAAATTTGGAGCGTTCAGATTTCAAGACAAACTGCTAGCTACCTTTAATATACGGTGAAGAAATTCATATTATAATTTGTCAGTTCAGATTTTCACTCACAATGCTGATGCGATATAATCTTCAATTGAAAAAAACAAAACGCATTCAATTTTAAAAGAATGCAAAATAGAGATATGTTTAAAAGCCAATGTCAGCCATTTTGGACCCCACGACATCGCTAAATTGACTGAGTAGTGGTGGATGTTCTTCGCATAATAAACCAGACAGAGCACATTACAAGATATTAGGGCAGGTCTAATGTAGGTCAAATTCCAGTTAGACTTTTCTCCAGGGAAAGCAATCTCTTTTTTTCCAGATTTAAGCACAAGACATTGAGATCCGTCTTAATAAGACCTTGTGGTTTTAAGACTACAGCTCCTGTCTTCAGTTCAGTTTGACTCTGACACACTCTGTCTTGTCTCTGAGGACACCTCTGCCAGGCAACAGATGAAAATGTTCTTCACAGCAGAGTAGCAACACCTCAGAAGAGAAGATCTCAATAATTGACAGGCCTCTGACAGCTCTGTCTCGCAGGTTGTGAGTGTGTGACATGTTTGTACAAGAAGGGCTGCAACAAAACCTTTGAAATGCTAACCTAAAATATGATATAGGCCTATTTGAGCATGATGGTTTAAATCAGCAATTAATTATATATGTGTGTATATAGCCTATACACTGCCGTTCCAAAGTTTGGTATAAGATTTGTTAATGTTTTTAAAAGAAGTGTTATGCTCGCCAAGGCTGCATTTATTTGATTAAAAAAAACACACAAAAAAAAAACAGTAATATTGTGAACGGCAGTGTATATTTATATTTTATTCTCTGCTGTCTCATTTGTCATAGCTAGGGAAGCTTACGGGAAAATAACATGCTGAAGGTTATGCTCTCAAAGGGATAGTTCACCCAGAAATGAAAATTCGATCATCATTTACTTGTCGTTTCAAAACCGTATGACTTTCTTTCTTGCATGTACAAACAGAGATGTTTTAAAGACAAACCATGCAATCACAATATAGGGTCCAAAGCTTAGAAACAAAAGAACACAAGGTCACAAAAGAACCTTCATAAAAGTGGTCCATATGATTTTTTATTTGAGTTTTATGGGAGAAACAGACCAAGATTTAAGATTAATCTTCACCTCCAGTGAGCTGTTAACTGGTGCTATACTGTAACAAGTCATTGTGTTGTTGAGTTCTTTGAGTCATTGAGATCATTCGTTATAA